ACACACACACACACACACACACACACACACACACACACACGACATTAGAACACAGTGCGGTCCTTCTCTGTAGTTCCCAATGCTGTTTTCTCTCTATCATCAATTGGAGGATTCTGAGACATGGCTTCAGTATATGATATATAAATGAAGTTCTCTTACCAGTGACAAGAAGATACAAGGGGTCACTTGGGACCACACATGGGAAGAGTTCCTGAAAGAACCATAGCATCTATAGTTCCCTCCTGGGACCACAGGACCAAGAAGGAAATCCGCCTGGAATGTCTCATTTTGGTTCTGCACTGCAGGCAGACCATGTCCCTCAGGTAACCCTTCCCTGGACAAATGGAACATGTCAAACTGAAGGGCACAGACACAGGACAAGGTCATGTTCTCTCCTGAGATCACCACAGGGCCCATCAGGGCTGACAGAGAAGGATTCTTGTATAAACTTGGAAGAAAAGAGGAAGAGACAGTTAGTTACCAGTGTTCATTCATCCTCAGTGTTCCTGCTACATGCTTCTATTTCTTTGATCTCTCTCTGCCTCTTACCATCTCCCCCTCTCTATTTCTCCCTTTCTCTTCTCCTCTCTTTCTCTCCTTCTCTCTCTTTATTTCTATGTTACCATCTTTAGTCTATGACCTCACTCTGTCATAGACTAGTTTTTCCAATTTTTGCTTAATGACATTTTCTCCCTCTATTTGCAGGGGTTCATTCCATCTGTCTTTTAAAGTTTGCTTTTGTGAGCATCATTGATTTTTATCTAGCACTCAATTTCATTATGAAATATTCCTATGTAAACATAATATATTTTTATGCTTGTTTTAAGTTTTGAAATTAAACTATATATCATTTAATATTTTTAAAATTGTTGTTACATATATAATTATAGATGTACAATATTAACCATATTAAGGCTAGTATTCTTTATTGACCTTCTACTTCCAATAATCACATTCATTTTACCAATTTGTCTTCTCTATATTTCATTTTTTCCAAGTGTTTTGCAAGTCAATGGGTTCAATTAGAGTTAATCATGATTTTGTTTTAATTAGCATACCAAGTAACAGTCTTCATTATAACATTCTCATACAGCTCCTTTTGTTCATTTTTTCCCCTCTTCCCTCCCTTGGACCAGATTTGCTGATCTCTTTACTCCCCTCATTTCCTCCTCCATGGTCATACATCTTTCATTTATTTCTCATCCCTTAATATTAAATATTTCTTCCTCTCATGGTCACTTGTTAAATTCATGACCTATTACATTGCCATCCTATATATAATAAAAATCTAGAATCTAATATCTTTCTATTTTTCTTTGTTCGTTGTGTATCTTTTTACATATCTGTGTTAATTAATCTCTCTTTTCAAAGTACAGAATATTCCATAAATATCTATATTTCTCTTGAACAATGGCCATGGTGATCTTCCCTCTATTGTTACTCTTAGTGTGTGTACTGCTCAAGTGTGATCTGTCATCTACTTCCCAAGCACTTAGTTCAGAATTTGTTTTTTGCTTCTACCTTTATAAGACTTCTACCAAGAGAGCCAGGCATATCATGTGTCAGACAAGCTCTGTCTTGACATATTTAATATCTGCTATAATTATTCCATCTCTGCTTTCGAAGTTTCCATTCAGGCTTCTGTCTTTTTGTATTTTTTCTCTTAGCACACATTCCATGTTTACTAATTCACAGTCTTTTCTGGTTTCCACCTGTGTGAAGGCATAAGGGTTCATTAATAACCAGCCCAATTAAGTATTTGGACTCAGGTCAGACACATGATCTCTCTGGATCTCTTGACAGACTTCTTATTGAGGTAGAAGTAAAAAATTTCTGAATGTTAGTAGAAAGACTTCATTCTCTCTGGTTCATATTATGCTCACCTAATTGCCATTTTCTGTTTATATCTGCTTATGACTCCTTTGCACCTTCCTGTATCTGTGCTTTATGTTATAACCAAGGGTCTGTTCTTGTGTATTTCTTTTCATTCTCTATATCAGTAAAATACTCACCAAAGATGCCTTCATGTAAATTTCCCACACTCATTTTATTGAGACCTCCCACAGCTCTTAGTGTATAGAATATTTTTCTGTATCACAAAGAGAATGAAAAGTGTGTATGCACCCTCTTACCTGTGATCTTTATATCAATGGGGTCACTAGAGTCTGACCACTCATATGGTGAGTGATTGTAAGAACCATAGCATTTGTAAGTTCCAGCATGGTCAGGTGTCACAGGACCTATTGAGAATTTGGCCTTGAAATTCCAACGATGATGTTCTGCAGAAAGTTTGAAAGAGTCCTTGATTGTTCCATTTTTATAGGAAGTCAAAATGAAGGTGTCAAACATAATCTCTGATCGACATTCCAGTGTCACCTTCTCTCCTAAATTCACCAGGGGAGGTTGTAAGGCCAAGAGGAAAGGCTTCCTGTAGATTCCTAACAATAAAGTAATTGTAGGAACCTGATCAAAATCTCTGTGTCCTTGAAGACCTATGGTTCTCCCTCAATTGGTCTGTGCTCCCTGTTAGTGCTCCAGTGCACTTGTTCTTTTCTATTTCAACTCTGGACACAGACTCCTCCAACTTTGTGTCCATTTCCTCCTTATCTGACTCTAGGATTATCACAATATTTTCATACTGGCCTGTTGTGACAATGTGTCTTTTGAACCCTACTTCCATAGGCCCTATTGTCTTTTTCTAAGACTGGAACGTGCAGGAAACATGGCAATTTTCACACCAGGCTGCTCTATGTGTCCTTTTTAATGCAACTTTGGATAAAGTATAATCCTTGGCAGAATGAAGGAATTAGTATTGAACATGGTTATCAGGGAAACACTTTTAGCTCTATGCTTGGTTCAAACCCCTATAAGGCATTCCTGATCCAGAATCAAAAGCATTGTTTCCTCCCAATATGTTGATGAATTAGCATCCTGACTTTAGTGCTCTCAGAGCATCCCTTCCATGCTTCTAAAATTGCTCTTGACATGAGTTCCTATGTTATTTTCCAATTGCTAACATAACAAATTACCACAAATTTCATTCTTAAAATGAATACAAGTATTGTGGAGATCAGAATTCTGAAAGCCCAAATGGCATAAATCAGGTTTCTTCAGGGATAGTAACTACTGAAATCACTAGGAAAGTATCCATTTTTTTGTCTTAGTCTCATGCATTCCTTGGCACTTGTACCCTCCCTCCATGTTCAGAGTTTGTGACACAGTGTCTCACTCATGATGCTTGTTTTTCCCACAAATGGATTTTCCCTCTTTTCTTATATCAATCCTTGTAGTTCTACAGACCTGGAATAATTCAGGATATTCTTGCATCCTGATATCAAGTTGTTAAGACCTGAGTTCCATCTTCCAGCCCAATTTTTCCTTGACATATTTAACACACAGGAAGCCTTAGGGACTAGAAAAATGCATGACCTTGTATGTCTTATAATGCCCAGAACATTATATATTTCTCTGTGTTGAATATTCCTTTATAAATCCAAACCTCTTACTAACACTGTTTCTGAAAATTCCAGGGTTGGGAGATTTGGGGAAATGAAAGGAACTCAAAACATCATCTCTAACCTGAGATTATGATCTTCACAGGGTCACTGTTAGCTGAAATTTTTTAAAGGTATTGGAGATTAAAACCATAGCATCTGTATGTCCCGGCAGGTGCTGATGTCACAGAATCCAAGAAAATTTTCTTCTGGGATGATCTTCCCTGGATCTGAGGGATAGGATTACCATGTTCTTTGTACAACTTGAATGAATAATAGTTACTATGAGAGTCACATCGAAGTTCCACATGCTGTCCCAAAGGAACAATATGGCTTGGCCAGGCAGAGAGTGAAGGCTTGTCATGATATCCTGCAGAAGGATGCACAGAGAAAATATTTAATGATGCTCCTTCATCCCTGAGAGCTGAGACTCCAATTTTCTCTTCTTTGGGTCCTTTGTATAACACTTTTCTCTGAATTGAAACATCCCTGCTTCAATGTAAGAGGCTGCAATTTTCAGGATATTCAGAAAGTAAACAAACTTTCTCTGTCTTGGAAAGGTGAAACATTCAAGATTCATCTGTGGCCCTTCCCAGCTCTATAGAAGGAGTAAGATACTGGACCAGCTGAGCTCTGAGTGCTAATGTCTAAGACCTGTTGGGCTGCCTGCAAGTTGTGCACTGAGCGCCAGGGTTTTGGCTTCATGATAATCACTCATATTGGGGTGTGCTTTAAGTAAGGTTTGAGTCACCCTTGCTTCTATGAGTAACCCCTAATCCACGATGCTGTCAGTAACAGAGTAAATCTATAGATTCACAGAGTTGTGCTTTGGTGCAATTACTGTTTGGTCTGCCATGGATTTCTTTCATGAGTTGAGTAGATTTGTATGTGTTGTACACAATAGAGTCATTTTGAAATGATGAGTGTAAAAGACTATGGTTTTTTGAATAGTTATGGTCCACATAGACTTTTCTGTTTAATTACATGGCACACAGGGAATATCACTAATAGGATCCATGGCCTCATTGGAGTAGGTGTGGCCTTATTGGAGGAAGTGTGTCACTGTGGAGGCACACTTTGTAGTCTGTTAACTCAAGCTATTAGCAGTGTGAAACACAGTCACTTTCTTCTGCCAGTGGATCAAAATGAAGAAATCTCTGCTCCTTCTCTACCATCATCATCCTGACTACCTACACACTGCTAGGTTTTCTACAATTATTTTAATGGACAAAAACTCTGAACTGTAAGTCAACCTCAATCAGATGTTTTCCTTTCTTAGATTCCCATGGTCATGGTGTCTCTTCAGAGTAATAGAAACCCTAAGACAAAGACTGTAGGTGTTATCCAACATACCATATATATATATATATATATATATATATATATATATATATATATATATGCTATATCTTTCATGTTAAGATATTCTAGCTGAGAATTTTGAGTTTTGAATAATGAAGCAAATTTCATCATGAAAATAATACATTTTAAAGAGAAATTACACCAGAAGTGTAGAAGGAAAGGTTAATGTGATTGAGATGATAGATCAGAATTGATGCCACCAAGGGAGCAGAAAATGACAGTTCTTGATGCACCAACTCCAGAAATCTAACAATATTCCAGTGAGAAGTATATCGTGAATGTTCTTAAACTCATGGATGAGGGAGAGATAGCCAACAGGACCACAGAAGTGAGAAGATCTAGAACAATGATGAGGAATGAGTCTTTTGAAC